TCACTTAAAATAAATGCTTCAAAATAATACTATCTAATAGTTCTAGGTGCCATGATTGACTAGACAATGAATGAGGATGATCTAAAATGAGAAAAAGAAAATAACCTAAAACATGTGAACCAGTCGTTGTCTCTTGACTCTAAACCAACTCCTGTGCACTCTGCTCTGGCATGTTGAACTGAGCTGACCCTGCAGCCATACTGCTGATGGCTAACTGACACCATTTAACACTGTCATCAGGGGTGATAGAGGGAGATTGTAAGGCTAAAGGACACTGCCTGTTTGCATTCCCTGGTATATCTCTCTGATGGAGTTCCATCAATTCTATTATTTTAACTTGATTTAAATTACCCCACCATGATTTGGGCATTTTTCCTATTTTGCTTTTGGGTCTCTTAAATTAAGTCATATCTAAAACTAAACTGCTGCGTGCACAAAGCATCTGTTTTATGATATGTTTGCTACAGAAGTGTCTCTTTGTCATTATAAAACCATCCTCTTGAAAAAAAAAGATGGCTGTGTGAGAAGTGAGACAGAAATCTCCTCCCCAAAACATATAGAACACAAAAATACAGTGTATACAACTAATCCTGAAAAAGTGACCAGAAAGAAACTTCAGCAGATGGCTTACATCTGGGGAAAGGAGAAGACCTCGTCGAAAAGGGTAAAGTAGCAAAGCCCTCCCCCACCCCACCTCATGGGTGGGAGGAAGAGAAACAAAGTGAGGATGGAGCATAGCCCAGGAATGCTAAATACCCAGCCCTGGAGATCTGCTCCAGGAGCCTGAACCCACATTACATGGTGCTCTGGAGATTCCAGGGGTTGGAAAGCAAAGACTGGTGGAATACTCAGAGAGACTGAGATTCCAGCCACTTGTGGAGAACAGGTACCCACAACTGGCCACTCTGAGGCAAAAGAAATGTGGGCACTTTGAAAGACTTCCCAACAGGGAGAGGGTTGTTAAAGGGCCAAGGATTACACGGAATTTGCTCTTCAAGAGAAAGGACAGGTGGACAAAATCGTCCCAGCACACTCAGCCTAGCAGTTTGGGAATTTTTAGGTGCTTCAGGTTCTCCATCACTCTGACTGGCAATACAACCCTGAGGCCCCCACTGCGATGTGCATCCTGCCACTCCTTCATCCTGACTGGCACCTGCTTGCAAACCTGTTGTCCCCACCATAATGCCAGGCCAGCCACAGGACAGCCATACCTATGGCAACTCTAGCAGCATAATGCAGAGGCTCCTCCCTGCATGCTCAGCTCACTGGCCTTGGCAGTGAAGGCAGGCACTGCAGCCAGAAAGCAGGAAAGAGCTCTTTCCTCCTGGCAGGCACCAGAGCCACTTGCCTGCAACCCCCACCATTGCTCCAGGTGGTGGGCAGCTCCAGAGAGTAGAGCATCTGGACACTAGAGGGTGCTGCCTACACAAAGCTATTATTCCACACTATTCAGTAGGATTATGTAAAGGCAGAAGAACCTTGCTCAATTCAAAATCCCTCAAGCACCAGAAAGCAAGCTAAGTGAAACTGAAATCACCAATCTTCCTGAAAGAGGTTTAAAAATAAAAGTCACAAACATGCTAACAGAGCTACAGAAAGTATTCAAGATATCAGGGATGAATTCAAGACAGAGATAGACACTTTGAAAAGTACAGTATCTGAAATGAAACATGCAATGGAGGGATTTAAAAGCAAACTAGAAGAGGTAGAGGAGATGGTAAGTGGAATAGAAATTAGAGAATGGGAATACAAAGAAGCTGAGGCAGAGAGAGAAAAAGGATCTCTAGAGATGAAAGAATAATAAGACAACTCAGTGACCAATCCAAATGGAACAGTATTCACATTATAGTGGTACCAGAAGAAGGGAGAAAACAATGGATAGAAATAATCTTTAAAGAAATAATTGCTGAAAAGTTCCCCAACCTAGGGAAGTAGTGTCTCAAACATGGAAGTGTCCAGATCTTCCAACACAAGGGACCCAAGGAGGACAACACCAAGACATGTGATAATTAAAATGGCAAGATCAAGGACAAGGATCGAGTATTGAAAGCAGTCAGAGAGAGAAAAAAGATCACCTACAAAGGAAAACTCATCAAGCTATCATTGGACTTCTCATCAGAAAACTTACAGGCCAGAAGAGAGTGGCATGATATATTTAAGGCAATGAAGCAGAAGGGCTTCAAACCAAAAATACTCTACCTGACAAGATTATCATTTAAAATTGAAGCAGGGATTAAACATTTTCCAGATAAGAAAAAGTTGAGGGAATTTACAGTCCACAAACCATCTCAACGGTGTATTTTAAAGGGAATGTTCTAGATGGAAGTGTTCCTAAGGCTAAATAGCTGTTTCCAGAGAAAATTAAACCACAGTAAAGGAAGTAGACCAATTAATTACTAGCCAAATGCAAAATTACATCAGCTACCCCCAAAGTCAGTCAAAGGATAAACAAAGAGTACAGAATATAAGACCCAACATATAAAGAGTGGAGGATGAAGAAAAAGAAGGGAGAAAAAAAAAAGTATCTTTAGAATGTGTTTGTAATAGTGTAAGAAGCAACTTAATTAGACTGTTAGAGAGTAAAGAAGCTGCCCTTGAACCTTTGGTAACCACAGATCTAAAGCCTGCAATGGCAATAAGTACCTATCTATCAATAATCACCCTAAATGTAAATGGGTGAATGTACCAATCAAATAACATATAGTCACTGAATGGATAAAAAAAACAAGGTCCATTTATATGCTGCCTAGAAGAGACTCACATCAAACCCAAAGACATGTACAGACTAAAAGAGAAAGGATGGAAAAAGATATTTCAGAAAACAATAGGGAGAGAAAAGCAGGATTTGCAAAACCTGTATGAGATCAAATAAACTTCAAAAAAAGAAAGTAACAAGAGACAAAGAAGGACATTACATAAGTATAAAAAGGGTCAGAATAGCAATAGTATATAACCACTATAAATATCTATGCAGCCAACATAGGAGCAACTACATATGTGAAACAAATACTAACAGAACTAAAGGGGGAAATATAGTGCAATTAATTCATTTTAGTAGACTTCAGCACACCACTCACTCTAAAGGACAGATCAACCAGGCAGAAATAAGTAAGGTGACAGAGGCACTGAACAACACATTAGCTCAGATGGACCAAACAGACATTTTCAGAACACTCTGCCCAAACACAGCAGGATACATATTCTTCTCAAGTGCACATGGAACATTTTCAAGAATAGATCATGTACTAGGAAACTAAAGAGCCTATGTAAATTCAAAAAGATTGTAATTGTGTCCTCCATTCTCAGTTTCTTACATTAGTAACAGTGCAAATTAATAGAAGAGGTTTGTTGAAATTAATGAATGAATATTGATATAAGATATTATTAGCTAACATCTGTGTTTTATCCAAATGTTTTCAGTTTTTACCTAATGCTCCTTTTCTTTTCGAATACTGAATCTATTTGTCATGTCACTAGGGTTTCCCTGTCTGTAAAACATCATTAAGTCTCCTAGTGCAGTAGTTTGATGGTAGTTATGTGACAAAGGTTCTTCAGTTCCTACAAAGTTCATAGACAAGAAAGCTAATAAATACAGATATCAATTATCCACAAACTGATTTACAGGTCTGATACTACTCCAATCAATATGCCACCATAGACATAGACAAACTTATACTAAAATTTTAGTGGAAAGATACATACCTGAGAGTAGCTATAACAATTCTAGAAGTAAGAATAATGTGAAATAAGTACTTTAACAATATTACTCTCTAGATGCTATAAGACTGGCTTTGTTGTTTACACTGTAGGATAGGCACATGAATCAGTGGAACAGAAGAGAGAATCCAGAAGTAGACTGCAGAATTATGACAATTTTTTTTCACAAAGTTAAAAGCAATTGGTGGAGGAAAGATTGCTTTTTACACAATTGGTGCTGGAGAAATTGGGCATCAATAAGTGAAGAAAAATTGCTACAGTTCACTCTACTGATTCACATTAACACAAATTAATTCAACATGGATATCACATGAATTTATTTATTTGTGGAATATAAAAACAAAGCCAAATAGAATGAGCAAAATAGCAGTAGACTCATAGACACTGAGAAATGACTAGTGGTTCCTAAGGGGGAGGGGCTGGGGCGGGTGGGTAGTGAAGGTGAGGGAGATCAAGGGGAACAGATATTCTTTATCATGATATAAGTTGGTCACGGTGATAGGAACACAGCACAGGAATACAGTCATGGTTCTGTAACATCTTTCTGTGTTGACAGATAGTAACCACAACAGTGGGGGTGAGGGTTTAATAACATGGGTAACTGTGGAACCACTGTGTTGCATACTTGAAACCAACATGAGATTGTCTATCAATGGTAATTCAATAAAATCAATAAAAAATATTAAACAGGATCTTACCACAATTAAAATAATTTTGTCTGCAAAAGCTAACATGAAGAATTTGAAAAGAGAAAGTAGATGAACACAGTGAGGTAACACTGGACAATCAATTGTTAGAACTTCCAAAATAAGAATGCTGATCCCACTCAGGGCTCTCAGGGATGCGAAGCGGCAGAAGCTCTCACCTCCCGCCCGTGAGAACGTGACCTGGTGCAGCTGCTCACACCGGAAGGCAGTTTGGCCATTTCTTACAGGTCTAAGCAGACCCTTAACACACAATCCAACAATTACCAATAAGATGATTGTGATATTGTAGTTTAGTTTTGCTGGGCGCGCTGGGAGGGGTGCGCGGCAGGCGGCCTCGCGGGCAGGCGCTGGCGCCCAGGCAGCGGCTGCGCCCTGCGCCGGGGAGGAGCCGGGGGTGGCGGGCGTTCGGCGGGCGAGGACCGTGGCCCGAGGCGGGGCCCGGTGCGGGGTCCGCGGCGGCTCGGGGTCCGCCCGCGGGTGCTGTGCGAGCGGGCGGCCCGGCTCCCCGCCTTCCCCGCCTCCCCCGCCCGCCGCCGCCGCCGCCGCCGTGATTGGGTGGAAGATGGCGTTGGGCAGATGGAAAGCCTAATGACAGTCTCCAAATTAGCCTCCATCTGCACCATGGGCGCCAATGCCTTGGCATTAGAGAAAGAGATCGGTCCAGAACAGTTCCCAGTCAACGAGCACTATTTTGAATTAGTCAATTTGGGGAATACCTGCTACTGTAATTCAGTTCTTCAAGCACTTTATTTTTGTCGTCCATTTCGGGAAAAAGTTCTAGTGTACAAGAGTCAGCCTAGGAAGAAGGAGAACGTTCTCACATGCTTAACAGACCGCTTCAGCAGCATAGACACTCAGAAGCAAAAGGTGGGAGTAATACCTCCTAAGAAGTTCATAACGAGATTATGGAAAGAAAATAAGCTTTTTGACAACTACATGCAGCAAGATGCCCATGAATTCTTAAATTATCTACTAAATACAATTGCTGATATTTTACAAGAGAGAAAGCAGAAAAAGCAAAATGGCCATCTACCTAACAGTATCATTGACAGTGAAAATAACAACAGCGCTCCAGACCCGACATGGGTTCATGAGATATTTCAGGGAACATTAACTAATGAAACCAGATATCTTACTTGTGAAACTATAAGCAGCAAAGATGAAGAATTTTTAGACCTTTCTGTTGATGTGGAGCAAAACACATCAATTACTCACTGCTTAAGGATTTTTAGCAACACAGATAACACTGTGCAGTGAATGAATACAAGTATTACTGTGGAGAATGTCGCAGCAAACAAGAAGCACACAAGCAGATGAAAGTTAAAAAACTGCCCATGATTCTAGCTCTACACCTGAAAAGATTCAAATATATGGATCAACTTTATCGATACACAAAACTTTCTTACAGAGTAGTTTTTCCTTTAGAACTCCCTCTATTTAACGCAACCAATCCTTACAGAATGTACGATCTTGTTGCAGTTGTGGAAGGGTCAAAGGATCTCAGACCTAGGAAACATAAAGGTGGTCCCAATCGAGTCCATTATATTGCAATAGTTGAGAGTCATGATTTTTGGTTGTTGTTTGATGACGACACTGTAGAAAAAATAGATGCACAAGCTATTGAAGAATTGTTGATGTCAGATATCACAAAGAACTCTGAGTCTGGTTACATCCTTTTCTATCAGTCTCGGGACTGAGGGGGACAGTGATGAAGAGACACTTTCTGCCTCATTTCTTCTCTGGTTATTTTGGAAAGGATCAAGCACTGATTTTTCAATAAAAGAGAGATGAAGGAGGCTCAGGGGGCAGTAGCACACTGCACACAATAAAGCAAAGACTTTGGATTAAAAAGAAAATAAAAATAAAAATAGAAATAAATAAATACAAGACCCATCTCTATGTTGACTGCAAGAGACTCACTTGAGATGTAAGGACATATATGCACCCCTATATTCATTGCTGCATTATTTACAATAGCCAAGATATGGGAGCTACCAAAACGCCCAGCAATAGATGAATGGATGAAGAAGAAGTGGTACATGTACACAATGGAACATCATTCAGACATAAAAAAGAAAGAAACCCTGTTATTTGCAACAACATGGTTGGATCTAGCCGATATGATGCTAAATGAGGTAAGCCAGGCAGAGAATGACAAATACCATGTGATTTCACTTACATGTGGGATATAAAAACAAAACGAAATGAAAACAGCAGTAGACTCACAGACACTAAGTGACTGGTGGTTACCAAGGGGGAGGGTTGGGATGGGTGGGTGAGGCATGGGTGAGGGGCATATACCTTTGGGTATAGAGAGGGCACCTTCTCACATAAGTGTTTCATCATCTGCTTCATAGGAAGATCACAAATTTTTCCTGCACTTGTCATTTCCCAAATTTCTTCAGTTTGAAAATCCAGAATGCCCAGTCGTCACCATCACATGAGAAGCTCGTTTCCTCACAGCACTCCTCCTGCTGGTCAGGGTGCCCACTGCTGATCACTGCTTGGATTAATCACAATATAGATGATTAAACATTATGACTTTTTAAACTAGATCTTTGCTTCTATATTTACCAGCTGCCAGTCTTCTAAAGGACAAATAATAACTTTTTAATCAGTGTTTTCTCTAGTAATAAAACATATAGACAGTGAGGGAAATGAAATATCTCCAGGGATTTCCATAAAGAATAAAAATTCTGAAATATTGAAACCAGTTCTACTTTATAACAACAAATTTAATTGAGGAAAACCTAATAATCTTTTCTGCAGTGACAATCTTCCCAAGTAACCTTAACACATGGTGAACCTACACATGAAATTAATTATATTTAGCATATCTCTTTCTTTAAGGAAAAAGAAAAAATAATTTTGGTGTTTTTTTCCATTGACCCTGTGGGAAATCTTAAGGGTAATTTTATATATAAAAGAAACAAAAATTTTATTTTATCATACTCATATTTTTAGAATATCTGATATTGGTATGGTAAGAATCAAAAGTTGTCAGAGGGTATTTGGGAACATGTTAAATGATGTCACATGTCACTGAGAAACAATGCAGAATCATACATTTAAGCCAAGTGACAATGAAACAAACACAGGTATTACATTGCAGAAAAACATTACATAATTGAAACATCCTAAGAAACCTTTGTATTTTTTTATCTTAAGGACAGAACAAAGTCAATGTAAATCCAAGAAAGTTATTTGAAAAGACATAAAATATATGGATTACATTTTGTATAATGAAAAATCTTTCGCATTTTAGGAATAATTAGCTAGTAGCCCATCTTGAATTGAACTACTTCCATAATTTTAACACATATCCTATCTTCTTTTCAGACCTAGATTAGATACATTATCCATGACCCAAGTAGAGGTAAAAGGTCTTCTGAATTACAGACAAGGAAATGCTCAGACACACACACAGCTTCAGACCTCTGCCTGGTGTCTTCCAGGAAATAATATTCACCTGGAAGGGCACTATGTATCTTTGAGAACTGGATCACCTCCCTCCAGGGTGTTGTCTCTGCTTTAGGTGTCTCTCTAAAGGACTGTTTATTGATAGGGGCACAATCCTAAAATGGCCCTGAGCTCACCATGTTAATTTTGCCTGCTTTTTGTTCTGCTTCAGCGCTAGACAGTCAGATCCTTCAGGAAAGTCGGAAGTAAAGTTCACCTATGTAGATCAAATTCTACACGTACTGTCCTCATTGAAGCACCCCGGTATTTTTTATCAGTTAATGAAATAAAGAAAATGAGTTGTAAGATGACCAAAAATCAAAACTTATCATAAAAAGAGAAACAATTCTTTCAGAACTGTGCCATAAATGGAGAACCAATTTGTCATGAATCATAACTGAGCGCATGCCCCCATGTGTCAGCCTGACAGGATTCAATGCGCTGAACTTTGCAACAGTCATTCAGGCTTTTGAGCACTTAGGACACTGCGTTCTTTCCTCAGTCTTTCCCAAATTTATGAATAAGTTAAATGATGAGAACAATTGTCCAGCGATCTGAAAGTGCACTGTCCCTGGGGATGTTTGGATGTATTACATGAAGTGAGAGTCTTGGTCACGTGTCTTACGCAGCAATCCCAGCAGAGCCTGCTTCATGTCCTTGTTCCTGAGGCTGTAGATTACAAGGTTCACTGTTGGAGGTACCACAGCGTAAACCACAGAAAGCAGCCTCTCAGTAACTGATGGTGAGTTTGAAGGTGGTTTGAGATAAACAAAACAGGCAGTTGTCATAAAAAGGGTGACAACAATGAGATGGGGAAGGCATCTGGAAAAAGCTCTAGACTGACCTTTCGTGGTAGGAATCTTCAGCACAAGAGAGAAAATATAAACGTAAGAGATCATGATACAGATGAAACAAGACATGCCTAAACAGGTACCTAGTCCAATACTCACGTAAACTATCATTGGTGTTTCAGAGCAAGACATCCTTATTAATGAGGAGACATCACAGAAAAACTGTGGAATCACACTGGAGCCACAGAAGGGCATGGAAAATGTGCCAGCTGTGTACACAGCTCCAAAGAACCACCCCCCATGGCCCAGCAAACACCAGCCATCAGGGCACAGGTGCCACCACTCATGAAGATCTCATAGTGCAGATGACAGCAAATCGCCACATAGCGGTCATAGGACATGGCAGTGAGCACAAATATCTCACCTGCTGAAAAGAAAGTCAAAAAGAGCACCTGGAAAGCACATCCTAAGATGGAAATTGAAGTGTTGTGAGCCAGGTTGTTGACAATGAATTCTGGGATTAGGACAGACACGAGGAAGACATCCAGTAAGGACAAATTCTTCAGGAAGAAGTACATGGGTGTTTGTAGCTGCAGGTCTAGGGTGATGAGAGTGATGATCAGGAGGTTACTCACTAGGACAGCCAGGTAAACCACTAGGAAGAGCACACCGTGTACAATCTGGAGCTCCCAGACTTCAGAAAACCCCAGAAGAAAAAATACTGTTACAAAGGTGACATTGGCCATGCTAGATTCTCCTCACTGTCTGTCAAGACAAGGAGATATGCAAAGGAACATCAATTTACACTTTCTAACAAGAATCATGTTGATACACAGAATAACATCAGTGAAAAAGAGGCATATGTGTTCTTTAAATAATTCTGAAGAATTACTAACAAGTTCCTTCTTTTAAAAGTAATGGGATTCCATGAGTTATGTGTGCAGTCAAATAGTTTTTGTGTGAGTTACACCTGATCCTGTAGTCTCAACCTTAACTAGCCACTAGAAAAATATAATTTGAATAAATACAAGACTTTTACTGTATATCAATGAATATTTGTATTATAGTGATATTGTTCTATGATAAATGAAAAATACTTTTGTTTTCAAACAATCCAAACTCCTTTCTTTAGGACTTTTATGTTATTATCCCTAATAGTGTAACTGGAACAATTTATCATTTCTCCTTTTTTCTAAGTATTATGACCTCACATTTGTGCTATTTAAAAGTCCAACATAGCCAAATAAATTTTTTAACCTTATGGGTCTAAACAGAAGAATATTAAAAATGATTCTATGTTCAATGATTGTATTGTCTTGAGATCATGTTATACACATATTTTGAACATTTTATTTATGTGTGTGAAAGAATTATTTAGGAAAATTTCAATTCCTTTGAATATGCACTTGTGTAGAGAATGCTGTTATTATGGAATGTTCCCAAATGTTGATATTTTTATAAGAGTGTATCTTAGAGGCACCATAATAAAATATTTTCCCCTATCGGAGTGAACATGCGTTCTTTTTCATGTGTTGTCTATTTTAATATCAGATATCTGCTTTCAGAGTTCAAAATGTTTCCTACATTATTATTTACTAGTACAAATTTATTTATTTATTCTCTATTGAAAATATCAGGAAGTGCTCCATATTTATTGGGCACCAAACTGTTTAGTAGAGACGTAATTTTTTTGAAAGGCTTATTTCTGAGAGCTTCCTGTCAATGTGAGGAGACAGACAATGATGAATAAAAATACATATAAAAAAGAAAGAAAACCAGTGGTGATGGGTGTCTTTAAAATAAGAAAAATCTATTATTTTAGAGATTAACAAAGTATTTATCTGAGATTGGAGGTGGACGATTGCCCCCTGTTGGGGTGACCTTGAAACCGACCCACACGGGAAGAGAAGGAGAACACAGGCTGGAGACCAGCGGGGGAGCCTCTCGGGGAACAAGGCTCGCGCGGCACAGCAGGGCGATGGGCGTCCGGGGCCCATGCGGAGAGTCTGTGCGTGGTGAGTGGCAAGAACGCACAGTGCAGACATCAGATGGCTTGGAAGGCATTTATCACCCTATTCCAATTTTCTGGAGAAAAACCCAGAGAGGTAGCAAAATAGGAACAAGAGTGAAAAAATATGTTGATATCCTCCCTAAATTTCACAAAATTCTTTAAGACTCACAAAGCATTATTTTGGAATAGTGTTTTACTAATAGAAACATTTTACCAATAAAAACTTGAAATTCATACCTCAAAATAATTCCAATTCTTCAATCACCTGTGAAGGATTTTTTTAGATGATACCACCAAGTGCACTTGAAAGTGAAAATCTTACTCCTAATAAAAATGATTAGTATACCACTTAAGGTCCTGGAATTAAAACAGAACTGTATCTTCTTTTGGAATTTCTCTGTCATTAGAGCATAGAGTTGTATTTCTAGTCTTCTGT